TACAACTCTCCAAAATCTGTGGGATACAACAAAAGAAGTTCTAAGAAGAAAGTTCATAATAATACAGGCCTACCTCAAGAAACAAGAAAAATCCCAAATAAACCATCTGACTTTATACCCAAAGGAACCAGAAAAAGAGGAACAAAGCCCAACATTAGTAGAGGGAAGGAAATAATAAAGACCAGAGTGGAAATAAATGAAATAGAGATTGTGAAAAAAAAGGAAAGATAATAAAAGTAAGAGTTGGTTCTTTTTTTTTTAGATTTTATTTATTTATTTGTCAGAAAGAGAGCACAAGCAGGGGGAGTGGCAGGCAGAGGGAGAAGCAGGATCCCCGCTGAGCAGGGAGCCTGATGCAGGACTCGATCCCAGGATCCTGGGATCATGACCTGAGCCAAAGGCAGTCGCTTAACTGACTGAGCCACCCAGGCATCCCAAGAGCTGGTTCTTTGAAAAGATCAATAAAATCAATAGCCAAACTCAAGAGAAAAAGAGAGAGGACTCAAATAAATAAAATCAGAAATGAAGGAAAAGTTACAACTGACACCACAGAAATACAAAGGTTAAGAGATTACTACAAGTATACACCAACAAATTGGAAAAACTTAGAAGAAATGGATAAATTCCTAGAAATACATAATCTTCCAAGACTGAATCACACACACAAAAACAAAAAATCTGAATAGACCAATTACAAGTAATAAAATTGAAACAGTAATTTTTAAACTCCCAAAAACAAAAGTCCAGGACCAGATGGCTTCATGGGTCAATTCTACCAAACATTTAAAGAAGAGTTAGTACCTATTCTCAAATTATTCCAAAAGATTGAAGAGGAAGGAAGTCTTCCAAACTTACTTTATGAGGCCAGCATTACCTGAAACCAAAACCAAAGATACCACAAGAAAGAAAATTACAGGCCAATATATCTGATAATATAGATGTAAAAATCCTAACAAAATATTAGCAAACAAAATTCAACAATATATTAAAAGGATCATACACCACAATCAAGTGAGATTTATTCCAGAGATGCAAATATGGTTCCAAATTAATCAATGTGATACCTCACATTAACAAAAAAAAAGGATAAAAATCGTATGATCATCTTAATAGGTGCAGAAAAAGCATTTGACAAAATTCAACATTCATTTAAGATAAGAAAAAAAACTCTCAACAAAGTGGGTATAGAAGGAATGTATCTCAACATAATAAAGGCATATATGACAAGCCCCAGCTAACATCATACTCAACAGTGAAAAGATTTCAGCTTTTCCTGTAAGATCAGGAATAAGACGAGTTATGTCTACTCTCACCACTTTAATTCAACACAGTATTTGAAGTCCTAGCCACAGCAATTAGGCAAGAAAAAGAAATAAAAGACATACAAATTGGACAGGAAAAAGTAAAATTGTAACTATTTGCAGATGACATGATACTATATAGAGAAAACCCTAAAGACTCCACCAGAATCTGTTACAATTAATAAATGAATTCAGCAAAGTCACTGGATACAAAATTAACATACAGAGATCAGTGTTTCTATACACCAATAACTATCAGAAAAAGAAAGTAAGAAAACAATTTCAGGGGTACCTGGGTGGCTCAGTCAGTTAAGCATCTGCCCTTGGCTCAGGTATGATCTCAGGGTCCTGGGATCAAGCCCTGAATCGGGCTCCCTGCTCGGCAGGGAGTCTGCTTCTCCCTCTCCCTCTGTGCTCTCCTTCCCTCTCAAATAAATAAATAAATAAATAACACAATTTCATTTATAGTTGCATCAAAAATAATGAAATACCTATGAATAAACTTAACCAAGGATGTGAAAGACCTGTACTTTGAATACTGTTTAAGACATTGATAAAAAGAGGGGCACCTGGGTGGCTCAGTTGGTTGAGCATCTGCCTTCAGCTCAGGTCATCATCTCAGCGTCCTGGGATCAAGCCCCATTCGGGCTCCCTGCTCAGCAAGAAGTCTGCTTCTCCCTCTCCCTCTGCCTCTCCCCCTGCTTGTGTGCTCTCTATCTCTCAAATAAATAAATAAAATCTTTACTAAAAAAAAAGACATTGATGAAAGAAATTGAAGACATGAATAAATGGAAAGATATTTTGTGCTAATAGATTGGAAGAATTAATATTATTAAAATGTCCATACTACCCAATCTACAGATTCAGTGTAATCCCTATCAAAATACCAATGGCATTTTTAACAGAATTAGAACAAAGTATCTCAAAATGTGTATGGAACCACAAAAAAAATCCAAATGGCCAGAACAATCTTAAAAAAGAAGAACAAAGCTGGACGTATCATGCTCCATGATTTCAAACTATACTACAAAGCTGTATTAATCAAAACAGTATGGTACTGGTATGAACACAGACACATAGATCAATGGAATAGAATAGAGAACCCAGGAAAAAACCCACACACATATGGTCAATTAACCTATGACAAAAGAGGCAAGAATATACAATGAGGAAGTGTCTTCAATAAATGGTGTTGGGTACACTGGACAGCTACCTGCAAAAGAATAAAACCAGACCACTATCTTATACCATATACGAAAACACATAAAAATTAAATGGACTGAAGACGAATATAAGACCTGAAACCATAAAACTCCTAGGAGAAAACATAGGCAATAAGTTCTTTGACATCAGTCTCAGCAATATTTTTAGACCAGTCTCCTCAGGCAAGGACAAAAAGCTAAAATAAACAAGTGAGATTATATCAAACTAAAGTTTCCCACAGTGAAGGAAGCCAACATAATGAAAAGGCAACCTGCTGAACGGGAGAAGTGTCGGGGGGGTTTGTTCCTCCCAGAGGCTTAAGGGAAAAACTGTTCCATGCCTCTCTGGAGGGGGCAGGCTGTGCTTGGCGTTCCTTGGCCATAGCAGTATCACTCCAGTCTCTGCCTCCATCCTCACATGGCCTTCTTCCCTGTGTCTCTGCTTCTTCTCCAGTAGTATTGGATGTAGGGCCCACTCTAATAAAGTATAACTTCATCTTGACTAATAACATCTGCAAAGACCCTATTTCCAATGAAGGCTACATGCTAAGGATGTATGAGGACATGAATTTGGTGGGGACACTATTCAACCCACTACAGAAGATAAGCATATTTGAGCATTATTTTAATTAGGACTGTCATTGAATATGTCGGAAACCACTAACTACCTTAACCAGAAAGGGAATTTAACCATGCAGGATTGCCTCCATAACTGGAATGCCCAGGATCGTCCTCCGGCTCCAGGTATTGTTTGGATCCGACAGGGGACTCAGGAGTCCATCACTCTCCCTCCATTGCCACCTCTGCTTACCCCTGTTGGAGCCTCTCTGGTGTGGCCACAGGGCAGATTTCACCTCAGACAGTCTAACAGCAGAGCTCTCAACCATACTGCTTCCCCTGTGTCACAGCAGTAAACACCCCTGTATTGGTTTCCTATGGCTGTGGAACCAACTACCACAAATTATTCGATTTGAACAACACCTAGTTGTTAGCCCACAGTTCTGTAGGTCAGGGGACAGCCATAGAGTACCTGAGTTCTCTGTTAAGTGTCTTACAAAGCCAAAATCAGGACACTGATCAGGATGTGTCCTTTTCCAGAGGCTCCCAGCTCATTTGGGTTTTTGAAGGAATTCACATCTTGCCATTGTAGGGCTGGCTCTCAGCTGGGGACCACTGAGCCCCCAGGGGCTGCCTCTCTCCATTCAATTCACAGCTTTCTCCCAGGCCACAGCAGTCCTCTCGCATTCCTCTGCTCCCAACTGGGGACAACTCTCTACTTTTATCTTTTGACCTCCTTCATGTAGTACTTTTTTATTTGTTTTGTTTCTATTTTGTATTGAAGTATAATTGACATATAACACTATATTAGTTTCAGATGTACAACATAATGATCCATATTTGTATATATTAAGAAATGATCACCAGAGTAAATCTGATTAATGTCCATCACCATATATAGTTACAACTTTTTGTGTGATGAGAACTTTTAAGACTTACTCTCTTAGCAACTATCAAACGTGCAGTATGGTTTTATTAGCCATAGTCACCATGCTGTACATTGCATCTCATGATTTATTTATTTTCTAACTGTAGGTTTGCACCTGAGAACTCTCTACTTTTGAAGAGCTCATATGATTAGGTCAGGTCCACCTAGATAATCTCCCTATCCTAAGGAGATAGGAGCCACATGATCTAATCTAATCATGGGGGTAAAATCCATCACAGTCCAGGGACCATGGACCCACCAGGGACCAGGCAAGGTGTGTATATATCAGTGGTGGTGGGACATAGCTCAGGGGGTCTTACACTACTGCCCACCACACCCTGTCTTACAGCTGCTATACCACCAGTGTCCCAGAGGCTGCACGGGATCGGCAGCAAATTAAGCCTGTTTTACCAGTGGAGAAAGTAGACCCAGAGAATCTCCAAAACAGAACCCAGTGTGTTTTGAGTCCAGCTTCTACACTGAGGTTTTGCCACCTCTTCCCCACAGGACATGCAGCAAAGAGCTTTGACACCGAGGTCCCCCTGCGTATGGATGCTTTGTGTGGGGAAAACCTCGATCACCCATAGAGCCGCGTGAGAAGTGTTGTGCACCAGAGCAGCTCCTCCTGCTCTCTGGCATATGGCAGATGAGCTCAGTTGGGCCAGGCTGTCTGGTCCACTCCAAGGGCCACTCACGAGGAAGCAGCATGTGGGGATGAAGGATCGCCACTGGCTGGCCTGAGCAGCAGGCAGGGAGGAAGGGAGAAGGAATGGCACTGGACAAGGAACAGAGGGAGGGAGAGGTAGGACCATGGAGAGCAATACAAAGAAAAAGAAGATGGAGGTGACATTCAGTCGAATGGAGAGAAAGAAAGTGAAGCTGATGGACCAGGGCTTTCTGTGGGGCGGCGGCTTCCCACTCTGCTCAGGGGGACCCACCCCATGGGTCCCTCTGGGGTGGGCCCCCAAGGGGCTGATGATCGTTTTCAGCCTTGCATCTCCCTCCCCTCAGGAAACCTAGAACAAGCCAATGAGGAGCTGCGGGCCATAATCAAGAAGATCTGGAAGCGGACCAGCATGAAGCTGCTGGACCAAGTGGTGCCCCCAGCGGGTGGTGAGTGCTCCCACGATCTCCACACCCTTGGCTCTTGCCTGGTTCCTGAGTCCACAAGGCTTGTGGGAAGACTGCTTCTCCCCCCTCCCCGGCCCTTCCTGTGAGGCTCCAAGGCCCTATTTGTTGGAAGGGACAAGGGCGCCATGCCTTCACAAACTCAGATACAGAATGTCAGGTTGGAAATCTGGTCTAATCATACATTTCATAGACTAGGCAAGGCCCCTTGATGCTCAGAGGTTTGGCAGAACTTCCAAGGAAACTCTGCAAAGTATAGGTTTCCCCATAAACTACTAGGCTGCTTGCTCTGGAAATAATAGGGACCTGGAAAAAGAATCCCCTGAGATCCGCTCTTGGTTGAAATTCTTTTTGTTTTATATAGGGCAGTGTTTCTCTACTCTCTCAAACCCAGTGCCCCTTTTCATAACGAATAGTTTATAATGCCCCTATTACTATCCTGAATGAAAATTATAACCTTCCTACAGAAATAATTTCCAAAATATTAATATAACACCTTAACTTGGGGCACCTGGGTGGCTCAGTCGGTTAAGTGACTGCCTTCAGCTCAGGTCATGACCCCGAGGTCCTGGGATCGAGCCCCGCATCAGGTACCCAGCTCAACAAGGAAGCCTGCTTCTCCCTCTTCCTCTGCCCACCCTCCTGTTCGTGCTCTCTCTCTCTCTCAAGTAAATAAATAAAATCTTTAAAAACATATATATATAACACCTTAATATAAAATACATTAAAGTCAAATGTTTTTCAATATATACACGCTTGGGCACTATGGGTTATGGCACTATGCCAGAAGCTACAGTTAACTGATAAAATAGTTGCATTCATCCACTTATGATGAGTAAGTTTGTGTTTAAAGGAACTAAGACAATATTGACTATTGTTGACATTTTGTATTTGTCATTTGAAGTAAGGGATAACTAAGTATATTACATAATATAATATACACACATATGTATACATATGTACATGCACATACATAGAACAAATGCAGACTGATATAAGCGGGTCAGATGCAGCAGGTGACTCAGATACCACAAGGAACATTGCCATCAGGGATACAATTTTCCAAAATGGAAAGCCCTCTTGGCCAGGTGGAAACAAAGCAAAGTCCATCAATTTACCTAGCAGTTATATTCCTGGGAAATTCTGGATATATTAAAACCAGGCAAAAAAATTATTTTCTGTTCATATGTAAAATGAAGTTAGGTTCTTAGCTCAGGTAAGGACATCAGGCAGAGTGTAAATCTATTATTTGTTGTGCAAAACATGCCTGTGTTTTAAGGGACACATCTGGAACCACCTAATGCCTGTAGCACACTGTGACAACCAAAAAAATCCCACACATTCCCAAAACACTCCTTAATGTTGACACCGGCCCTGTTGAGAACCACTTCCCAAAGGGAATCAGGACTGGAGCTCAGTGAAAAGTCACCTAGACAGGCCAAGCACCACGTGACGTTTTGCATACCTTATTTAATCCTTATAACATTTCTGTGAAGTTTGCTCAAGAAACTGAAGTTCTTAGAAGCTATGGAGCTGACCCAATGCTATAGTGTGAGTACCTGGCAGATTGAGAATTCAAACCCAGGCCTGGAGGAAACCAGAACTCCAAGCTCTTTCTGCCCTGCAGCTCTTCCTCACTGACTACCCTAGACAGGGGACTCGGGTTTTCCCTCCCACATGGGAATGAGGTGTTTGCCATGTGGAAGGTCACTACTGCTGTGGACTTGGATATTCTTAAGAGACAACTAGGAGTAGGAGAACCATCACAGGTTGACTATGTCTAACCTACCAACTGTCTCCTGGACCCATTTCCTTGAGAAGAAGAAGATGGAGCCAAGAGGCTACTCACAGGGCATGCAATGTTCTCCTTGGAGACTCTTTGGCTTCTCCACCACCTGGTTCGTTCCCAACACAGAGGCTGACTATGTCATGTGTAACTTGGGGGTCTAGCCCAGCAGGGACCCATCCAAGCCACATGGTAAGAAAAGCCAATCTGTCTGGTTTGAAAGCAAAACCCAAACTTAGAGAAGAAAGATGCTCCTTCCACCAAACTCCATCTTTAACCAGAACTGTTTGCACTTAGGGGACTAGTCAATTTATGATGGTCACCTCAAGTTTTGGAATCAAATAAAAAATTAGTTAGCAATGTCAGTTAATTTTTTTTTTACTTTTTTGAAAGTTGTTTTTACACTTTTTTGTTGGTTTTAAAACAAGGTGGGAAATAATTTTGATAATAGGCTACTTCTACTGTTAAAAAAAAAAAAGAGGGGCTAAGAATATGTTTGCTTATTTGCAGAAAGCATTTGCAGAAAGACTCTCCAGAAAAATACTTAAGAAACTAATTTTAGAGGGACTCCTGGGTGGCTCAGTCATTAAGCGTCTGCCTTCAGCTCAGGTCACGATCCCAGGGTCCTGGGATCCGAGCCCTGCATCAGGCTCCCTGCTCGGCGGGAAGGCTGCTTCTCCTTCTCCCGCTCCCCCTGCGTGTGTTCCTGCTCTCGCTAACTCTCTCTCTCTCTCTCTCTGTCAAATAGAATCTTTAAAAAAAAAAAAAAAAAGAAACTAATTTTAGAAAGGTTATCTATTAAAAGGTGGTAACTCGGCGGATGGGGGGTAGGAGAGAGACTTTTCACTGTACACCTTGTAATATATTTTTGCCTTTCTGAACCATGTGAATGGACTACCTCTTAAAAAAAAACTTTAAAGAACTTCAGAAGGCTTGGTTGCTGAAAAAAAGTGAACGAAGCCCAGCTGAATTCCCCCCTTTACCTCCCCTCTGTCCTCTCTTCTGTCTCAGATGACGAGGTCACGGTTGGCAAGTTTTATGCTACTTTCCTGATCCAGGAATACTTCCGGAAATTCAAGAAGCGCAAAGAGCAGGGCCTGGTGGGCAAACCCTCCCAGAGGAACGCCCTATCCCTGCAGGTAAGAGGCAAGGAGGGGGTCCACACCCTAAGGAAGGGCCTGATCACCTTCTTCCGACCTCTGGCCAAGGGTCAGAGGCCAGGTCCCTCCAGAACTTTCAGGGAGCTCCAAGCCTTTCCAAAGGTGTGTGTGTGTGAAGGGGTGACACACTGCCTCCCACACACCCTGCTTCCCCAGTCCTGCCTGCTTCACAGCCCCTCCTAATGTGCCTTTATCCTTCCTGGGTGGAGAAATGGATTCTTCCAGTCTGGGGCAGACAAGGGAGGTCTCGAAGCACATCCCTGGTTAGTACACACAGATAAACCCTCAGCAGGCTCACCTGCCTAACAGGGAGGCAGCGGGTCAGGCGGCTGGGTGTCCCTCTGGGTTTCAGGCTGGCTTGCGCACACTGCATGACATCGGGCCTGAGATCCGACGGGCGATCTCTGGAGATCTGACGGCCGAGGAGGAGCTGGACAAGGCCATGAAGGAGGCTGTGTCTGCTGCCTCCGAAGACGACATCTTCAGGGTAGGTGGATGCCACAGGAGCACTCTCTTACCTTTATAAAGCTCAGCTGGAAGCAAGAGGGTGGGCGGGCGTTCTGCCAAGGAAATCCAGGGGGAAAGCCCTGAGCTCTCTGGCAGATTCCAAGCTCTTCCCACTCAGCTACTTCTTATCCCTTGGCCTTCTCCGAGTCTGAGTCCATCTCAAGCCTGGGCTCCCAGGACATGGCAGCTCCCAGAGTGTCACTGGCTCTCGGAGAAAGAGGGGAGGAGCCATTTTCTTAAGGGACATGTTTCCTAGGAGAACCTTCTGCATTAGAAGCTGCAAAACCATGGGGCCACTTTTGGCCGCATCTAACCTGCAGACCGATTTTGTTTGCCAGCATTCAGAAATCTGGCACATTCAAATAAAAACCTAGGCCTCTGACTTCTCTCTAAAAAATCAGAGAATCTGGCTTGTGTTCCCACGTGGCAGCAGAGGAGCGGAGCCCAGGGACAATTGTCCTCTTGAGAGAAAGCACGTGTTCTCCCGGTCACAAAAGTCCCCTCCAGCCTTCCTTCCCTCTCCTTTCCTGGATATGGAGGCTGAGCTTCCGTTTTCTGGTGGAAACCGAACCTGACTTGCTCTCTCCATTCATGGTGGTCCCTGCCGAACCCCGAAGGTATTTGGCTAAAATACCTCTGAAGCAAGGGAGAAGCCACCGAGCAGCATCGCGCTGGGGCCCTGCAAGCCCCCACGCAGGGGTCCTGGGCTGTGGAGACACCGGGAGGGAGGACAACCTGCCCGGCCTGTGGCTGCCCTGTCATCACCATCCTCATCCTCATCACTGTGAAATGTCCATCACCGAATGGCCTCAGGGACACAGCACCATGCTCTCACTGCCCCAGCGAGACCCCACAGACCAACTTGCAGATAGCTACTTGCCCACTCGCCCCAGGACAAGGAAAGAATGTTGGGGAAAAACACTGAGTCCTGATCTGAAATCTGTAAGAATTGCCCAGGGGAGAGAAGGCCAGAATATAATTAAAGGAGTCAATGCGTCATCCTTATTTTCAAAACCGTTTGGCCAACATAGTTTCTAGCTCAGTGAGCCAGTTGGATCTCCGTTTTAAAAATTCTCATTAGAATCTCCTGGTCCCTTTCCCCACCCCTCAGCCCTCTCAGTGCCTCACAGCCGCCAAGGCGAGCGAGCAACTGGCTGCAACTAAGGATTGCCATCCTACACTGGTTCTTGAGTCCTCAGGGGGTTCGGTAGAAAGTCCCAGGGCAGCAGCCTTCGTGCCTGGCTGGTCCTGTCCCTCACCGGCCCCCCAGCGGTTTCAGAGGGGACCATCTGCGTCCCTCCCCTCCAGCTGCCAGGCCACGCGGGCCAAGAGCTGCCCGTCCGCCCCATGCTGCCCGGCGTGGCTGTGCTCTCTGGAAGGCAGACAGCCTTCCGTGCCTTGGCCGAGAAGGAGAGGTAGCTGAGAGGGCTTTCTCCTCCTCCCACCCCTCCTGTCTCGCCCACAGAGGGCCGGCGGCCTGTTCGGCAACCACGTTGGCTGCTACCAAAGCGACGGCCGGAGCGCCTTCCCCCAGACCTTCACCACCCAGCGCCCACTGCACATCAACAAGGCGGCTAACAGCCAAGGCGACACCGGGTCGCCGTCCCACGAGAAACTGGTGGACTCCACTTTCACCCCCAGCAGCTACTCGTCCACTGGCTCCAACGCCAACATCAACAATGCCAACAACACTGCCCTGGGCCGCTTCCCCCGCCCCGCTGGCTACCCCAGCTCGGTCAGCACCGTGGAGGGCCGTGGGCCCCCCTTGTCTCCTGCCGTCCGGGTACAGGAGGCAGCCTGGAAGCTCAGCTCCAAGAGGTAAGCAGGAGGGTGGGGCATCCAGGGCCCGTGCACAGGGACCCCACACACTCCAGCCCAGACTGGATGGGGGTAGAGTTTGGCCCCCAGGTCTACCATGCACCCCTCGAGCTGGGATGGAGGCTGCCTCCCCAGATCCCACCAAGAGATAGGCCTCCCGATTTTGCCCTTGATTAAATGTGGCAGCCGCCCTTGGGCGAAGGCATCATGGTCCTGATGGCCGTCAAGTGTCCTGTGATGCACACCACGGGACAGAGCCTCCTGTGCTCTCTCATGCTACCCAAGCTGAGGAGCCCAGGCCCCCGCCCCCCAGGATGCTGGCATCCTGGCTATACAACAGACTCTGTTCCCCCGGCCTCTCCCAAGTCTGCACAAACCTGGCCTTTGGCCTAGTTGGGATGGGAATGGAGCTACCACCTCTTCTTTACACCCTTCTCAACCCTCTTGGGAGGGGAATTTTGGTGGCAAGAGGCCCTTCACCATAGCGCTTGCCCATTCTGCCCCAGTGTAGGATCATTCCTGGTAGTTTGATCTCCCACCACCTGACGCATGCTTTTCTCCCCACCCTCTGCTCCCTGGTGCTCCAGGATGCATTGCTATGATATAATGGGACGGTAGGTGCCTACTGCCGTGCTCTAGGCCTATGGAAGCACAGCCTGGGCCTAAAGGGTCTCCTCCCTGTTTCTGTCAACAGCTCTGGGTTCCCAAGGCTGGGTGGGAGAGGACATGCCTCCCTGTATCTTGCCACCTCTCTCTTAGTGGACAGCACCCCCACCACAGCAGGCCGGGCAGATCCCCAGCATGCCATGTTCTTGGGCAGATCTCTCTTGCTCACGAGCTTAGAAAATAATTGTGATGTGTGAGTGTCTTTTTGGACAAGTGTCCTGAAGCTGCTTTCATCTAAGGAGCCAGCATACCTGCCCCCTGGTTTTCACTTCCCTTCTTAACACCCACTTTCAAGTGGCCCCATGGACACCTACATGGCCTGGGCATTTAATGGTGTCTGATGACAGCCAAGTCAGATTGGCCATCGGTCTACCTTACTGTCTGGAAGAATGGCTGGTGAAACCACCTGAAAGCAATGTTGTGTGAGTCCTTCTACTCAAGAGATGTATGTTGAGGCCTTCCATGCTCAGGGCAGTGTGCTCAGCCCTGGATTTTTTATGCTGATCTGAAAGGTTAGCTTTGCACAGGGGAGTATCAGAGTTCAAGTGGCTGGCCCGTGCCCGTCTTGGGGGCCCCTCCCTTTTCTACAAACCTCCTACAAACTTCAGGGACTCAGTCCTGGTGCCATTTTCTTCCTTGCTCCCCTTACCAAAATCTCTTCTTTAGGAAGGCTCATTGTGTCCATCATTAGCAACTCAGTCTGAACTAATACCTCCTTCAGAGGGTATTTTCCTATTAAACTGTGGTCTGTATTAAATGAAGGGGGAGTGGTTTTTAAGAGAGGAGGTAGGGAGAGACATCGGGGGATTTTCTTCTTCTCCCCCACAGATCCCTCTATCCATGAACTACAGTACATGCAAGAGCCTAGCACAATGCCTAGCACATAGTAAATGCTCACTAAATACTGGCTCCCTCCCTCCCTGCACAGTGAGAAAAACGACACTCAAGGCAGTAAGCTTCAGCTTGGTGAGGAGGAACAAGTTAAGCCCAGTTGTAGCTCTGGGGTCTCAGCCTTCGTGTTGCAGCTCAAGGCTAAGTGCAGTGGCCCAACACTGGCCTTGCTTTTCCTGGGGACGGGCCAGCATGTCTTGTACACAGTGGCCCCTGAGAAGTGGTGTTGCCTGCCTGCTGCCATTCTCCACCTCCCGCTCATCCCATGACGCCTCCCCAAAACTCCTTTCACCTCTCCTCTTCCCACCCCATCAAAAGCCTTCAACATTTCATCTGCCCTTACTATGGGATGGGCAGCCACCTGGCAGGGCCTGCTCCAGAGAACCGGGTAGGTACCCGAGGAGGGTAGCTTCCTGAGTTGCCACAGCTCAGAGGCCCCGGGTCAAATCTAGGGCACTGATCCAGCGCTCGGCCCTGAGAGGATTAACTGGGATCTTTCCCTCATGCCTTCATGGGTTTGGGAGTAAAGTGAGCCCCAGCATTCAGGATCTATAGGAAGAAAGACTGAGGGAGGTACTGAGAGGCACAGACAGGAAAAGGGAGAACACCTGGGCCAAAGGGTGCGCAGAATCATCCAGGGCACACCCTGGTGCAGGAGGGTCTCAAGCTCAGCAGGGACTCAGGCTCACTGCCCAGGAGAACAAACCCACGGACGTGAGGCTTCTAGTCTTTGCCGTCACTCTAAGGAGCCAATATCAAACCCAAAGTCATGGCAAAATGTGACCCCAGGAACTTCCCAGCTCTGCCCAACCAGTACCAAAGGCCTGGCTGTCTCTAGCAGAGGGAGAGGACAGCCCTCTCAGGACCCACCCCAACCTGTATAGAGCAGCCCAGGCCCCTGTTTTAAAAGCTTGACCTTTCCACCTTTCAAAACCCCATCTTATCTGTTAATTCATTTGTTACTCATGACAAGTCTCTGAGTCAAGCAGGGCATACGCTACTCCAATTTTATTGATGGGGATACGGAAGCATGGGGGGTGGGCCAGTGACTCATGCCAGAAGGCAACTGAACTGGGGTCCGAACTCAGATCTCCTTGGGTCCTAACCCAGAGATGCTTATTCCGTATGGAATCCTCATCCTGATCTTACTGTTTCCATGGCTCTGCTGCTTCGTCAGCAGCTGTGAGAGGAAGAGGCCACAGCAGTTGTGTGTGAGTGTGTGGGCATGTGTGTGCACGCGTTCGCTGTGTGAGTGTGGGGGCACGTGTGTGTGTGTTCACTGTGTGAGTGTGTGGGCATGTGTGTGCACGTGTTCGCTGTGTGAGTGTGGGGGCACGTGTGTGTGTGTTCACTGTGTGAGTGTGTGGGCATGTGTGTGCACGTGAGTGTGGGGGCACGTGTGTGTGTGTTCACTGTGTGAGTGTGTGGGCATGTGTGTGCACGTGTTCGCTGTGTGAGTGTGGGGGCACGTGTGTGTGTTCACTGTGTGAGTGTGTGGGCATGTGTGTGCACGTGTTCGCTGTGTGAGTGTGGGGGCACGTGTGTGTGTTCACTGTGTGTGTGGGCATGTGTGTGCACGTGTTCACTGTGGGGGGCACATGTGTGCACATATTCACTGTGTGAGTGTGTGGGTGCATGTGGGCGTGTTCACTGTGTGAGTGTGTGGGTGCATGTGGGTGTGTTCACTGTGTGTGTGGGCGTGTGTGTTCACTGTGTGAGTGTGGGCACATGTGTGCGTGTTCACTGTGTGAGTGTGTGGACATGTGTATGCGCGTGTTCACTGTGTGGACACGTGTGTGCGCGTGTTTGCTATGTGGGTGCATGTGTGTGCGTGTTCACTGTGTGTGTGCGTGTGTTCGCTGTGTGTGGGCGCATGTGTGCGTGTGTTCGCTGTGTGAGTGTGGGCGCGTGTGTGCATGTGTTCGCTGTGTGGGTGTGTGGGCGGGTGTGTGGGTATGTGTTCACTGTGAGTGTGGGCGCGTGTTCGCTATGTGGGCGCGTGTGTGCATGTGTTCGCTGTGTGTGTGGGCAGGTGTGTGGGTGCATGTGTGCACATGTTCGCTGTGTGTGTGTGCGTGTGTTCACTGGGTGTGTGGGCGTGCGTGTGCATGTGTTCGCTGTGTGGGTGTGTGGGCACGTGTTCGCTGTGTGGGTGTGTGGGCGAGTGTGTGTGCGTGTTCACTGTGGGCGTGTGTGTGCATGTGTTTGCTGTGTGGGTGTGTGGGCGCATGTTCGCTGTGTGGGTGTGTGGGCAGGTGTGTGGGTGAGTGTGTTCGCTGTGTGTGTGTGCGCATGTTCGCTGTGTGGGCATCTGTGTGCGCGTGTTCGCTGTGTGGGTGTGTGGGCTCGTGTGTGCGCGTGTTCGCTGTGTGAGCGGGTGGGCGCGTGTGTGTGACGCTTCACCTGTGAGGGAAAGGTGGGGGTAGCAGTTTCTGACTTCACTTCTCCCTCTTGGACCCTTCAGGTGCCACTCCCGGGAGAGCCAGATAGCCATGGTGTGTCAGGAGGTCTCTCAGGACGAGCCCTATGACGTGCGGATGAGCGAAGACACCGAGTACTGCAGCGAGCCCAGCCTGATCTCCACAGAGATGTGAGTGCGGCTGCCTTGCCCCGGGCCAGTCCATATGTAGGACAGGGTCTGGGGGTGAAGGGCAGCTCCCTGGAATCCCTCCTCTGGGCAGGACTTGGGGAAGGGGGGTCGCATGTCAGAAGAACGCCTGCAAAGCATCTGTCACCTCATGCGGGAGATGGATGTATGCCCCCGCCCACACGCACACATACGCACACGTACACACATACACACCACTGTCCCTGGTTAGCTTGGCCTTTCCTCGTGATACGGTGCTTTCAGGAATACTTCAAAACATTGTCTCATAAACTTTTTTTTACTGAAACCAACTGTCATAAATATATTTTATAGTGAGACTCCGTACACACACACTGGCAAATAAATGTTCATGAAACTACTTATAATAAAGCCACCCAGAAGAGGGCACTGTTGGCAAACAGTGGCCGAGGTTTTTGTCAGTGCTGGAATTTTTTAAGAGGAGGTTTTTTAATAAAACTACAAGTCTAGACCCATTAGAAGGTTGTGACATTTACTTAATTATGATCACCACTTTCTTTTATATTAATGTTTTATTGAAAAAGGTACATGAAAACCACCTATGTACACAGCCCCAGATGAACAAAACAAGCCTCCTCACACCTTCTTTCGTCTTACAAAAGCTTGACTTCTCTGGAGTCTTGTCTTGCCCATTCCAGCCACAGTGTCCCAGTTAACTTGGTTCCTTTTACTGCAGCCTCAAAATAAAATCAAACTCCTCTTGGGTCAGGGGCTGAATGGAGAGTATCTGGCGAGTGGAGAGAGCCCTATTTTTTAAGGGGCCTCCAGTGGCTTTGTGAGCTTGGAGATGGGTTTTGAGCTCAGGTACCAGGGTCATGAAACACTTCATCTGAACAAACTGTACATTGACCTTGGACCATTTGGGGTTGTCTTCTTTGCTGGATGGGTCATAATGGGGATTATTTTTCTCAAACTGTGTGTGGTCTGGGGACACCTCCCTCACAAGCTTCACAAGTCCTGCGATGCCTGGTTCTTCACAGTCGCTCTGGTAGAAGGCTTCTTTCTCCCACTTCAGGGCCCCAAGGAAGTTCTGGGGCTGGGAATTGTGAAGGCCATCCCAGCATGCTGTCTGCTTGGGCTGTGCTTTACGATGCCCAGCGCTGAACTTCACCTCTACACCTTTGTCTAGTTGGCTTTCTGGCTCTGACGTCATCAGCCAGTAACTGCTTAGATTCTTCCCACCGTTTTTAGAGGCTGAAGCTTTCCGAGGCCTGGAGTTATCCCCTTGAGCTGATGCCCCCGCTGGTTTCTTAGTCTTGGTACGTCTTCTTACGAGCCCCTTATTGTCCGGCCCAGCAGGCTCAGCAGCCCCAGCCAGCCCCTTCCGCGGGCTAAGCATGATTTCCCTGTAGGGGCTGAAGAGCAGAGGATTCTGAAATCAACCGAGACATATGAGAGGCAATTCTGTATCTGCCCCCAGAAAACACCCCTCAGGTGCCAGAAGGCCAGGCCATGAGCAGCACTTTAAAAGAAAGAACAGCATAATACAGAATAGCATAGGTTAGAATAAGACAATAGATAATAGTGGATCCAATGTCACAGAGGTATTATTTAGTGAAATATTTGTTTAATTGCCAATACATACATCCGTGTACTGAGTCTCATAAAATGTATTTATGACTGTGGGTTGCATTCAAAAAGTTTAAGGTGCATTGTTTTAGAAGCTTTTCTAAAAGCACTTTATAATAAGGAAGGACCAGCTCCTCGGCCTTTTGATTTTTAGAGACTGCAAGTTTTTACATGGCCACATACCCTAGAAATCAGGAAAAGCATATGCTTCAATCCATTTTGGCTGTGGTGCTTGGTGCATCCAGGCACTCTGCTAGATCATGAATAAACCGGCCTCGGCACTCAAGGATATTTTACAAACCAGTTAAGATCTTAGAAGAGGGAGATAACATGGAGATTTTCACTCACAGAGTAGTACAAGCAACGAAGGGGACAGACATTCAGAGGAGGTTGAGGTCAAGGTGACCATAACAGGCTCCTGGCACAAGATCAAATAGAAGCTGGGTCTTCAAGAGTGGGTACAATTTGGATAAGAAGAAAATATAATAGGGAAAGCTTACCACGTTGAAAATAAGAGGAAAGGTTTGGAGGTTTTTTGGTCAGAAATTTTCCTGCACATGTACCAAGGATCAAAACCAATATGCTAGGAGCAGGGACGGCCACACATTCTCTGTCCTCAAAGCATGTGGAGTTACACCAGGGACAGAGTCAGTGGTCTCATCTGTAAAGTGAAGGGGTTAGAAAGCACCTGTCCTCTTGGCTGGCAGGCTACTCCCCCTGGGGACTGTGAAATCAACTTAGTGGATTGCAACTGACATTGTTTAGTGAAATAGAAAAGACTGAAGTAGAATAGAAACCACCAGAGGGCAATGCATGCAAAAAAGGTAAATATGGTTCAAGAAGTTGAGTTCGATTAGGTGTGTATATAAATGGGACAATGTACAGTCTATTTCTCATTGTGAGTCCCCATCCAAAAGGTCTAGCAGCCAGGCCCCTTACAGCTCTGCTATTCACTGACTGGCGGACTGGAGATTTGTCCGTAGGCAGCTGCTTGTGTGTCTTGATGATGAAGGGTGGGCGGGCCAGGGAGAAATTAGGGAGAGGGGGAGAAGTTTGGGCTGAACTCAGGAGTGGTCAGGGTAAATAGCATCCACATATGTAAACAGAGGAGCCTAGGCTGTTCCTGGAAAGAATCTTGTGGACCTAACATTTTCTGCCATCTTTCTCACCAACTTTGACTCAAGAGTGCCTCTACTGCCGAAAATCAGAAATGCGAGGCTTCTGAGCAGACAGGCTGTGGGTGAGGAGCTGGGAACATCTGTGATGTGGGAGAGCCAGGCCGAGCCTGGCTGGGGGGGCGAGTTCCTGTTGCCTGCTCCCCGAATCTTTACGAAAGCACAAAGCAGGGGTTCCCTTCACTAGGGAAAAAAGCAAACTGCCTTCAGGGGGTGGCAGCTCTCCGTATGGGGTGGCACTTCCCGGCTCGCAGAATAAGCACCAGGAGTTCTCTGTTCCAGGCTCTCCTATCAGGACGATGAAAATCGGCAATTAACACCACCTGAGGAGGACAAGAGAGGCATCCAGCAATCTCCAAAGAGGGGTTTCCTCCGCTCTGCCTCACTAGGTAAATACTCACCTCTCTCTTTGTTCGGATGTGGCAGGTCAGGCACTCGAGTGACTGGCTCAGACAGCCCCACGCAGGGGCTGGGCAGATTTCCAGAGCAATGAGACGGGATTCCAAGGCCAGGGCTTGCGGGGATGGGATTTGGCCATATGCTACGTGTTATGAGAGGCGAACGGTAGGGAAGTGTTGACTCCGGGGCCACTCACGCGGCTCCTTGCACCCCCCATGGTCTGAGGCTCGCAGACCTCGGTCCCTTTTCCCTGCACTGATCACAGTTCTTTGGCTGGCTTTGCAGGTCGAAGGGCCTCCTTCCACCTGGAATGTCTGAAGCGACAGAAGAATCAAGGGGGAGACGTCTCTCAGAAGACAGTCCTGCCCTTGCATCTGGTTCATCATCAGGTAGCCGAGGCTTTAGGAGGCATCACTGGCCAGCACCCCGCAGGCTACACAACCCCCGTGATTATGGCAAATCCCGAGACCCCCCTGAGTCCTCCTGTCTTGGACCACTGATAGCCCTAGCCCCTGGCCCTAACAGCCCCACATGAGGGGGCTCGTCCATGCAAGTGAGAACCTTAACAAGGTCTGTCGTTTCCCCGGGGGGTGGAGGGACATCTAGGAAATACTGGTGAGCAGGAGCTCCTCACATGGTTCAGAAAGATCAGCAGCTCCAGGATTCTGCCTGACCTTCCTACAATGGCACAGATGTTCCCTCCACAGACAACGGCTTACACCACAGAGCACTCGGGCGGACGTAATCATCCCTAGAGCTGCAAGATACCTGGAGATCTAGCTGCACACAAACCCATCCCCCAAAATATAGAAATGATTAAAGAATCTGTCAGCAACATGATCAGGAGTAGAGACTGATGTCCAAGGAGAACAGGTTCAGAAGATTCGATAATTGAAATATCTCTTGGCATGGCTGACTCCAGCTGAGCCAGTGAAATCCAAGACATCAGTATCCAACATGTTCTCAGTATCTTAGAACTAATGGAAACCTCAAAGAATCAAAGGCCAGTCCCTTACCTCTAGGCAAATTAGGGCCCAAATTTCCCAAACTTTTTTCCTCTCTAAGTATATACTCCCTCACCACAAGCCTATGCATTAAATGGGGTTTTTTTAATACCCAAGGGCACTCATCTGCCAATCAAAGCTTATAATGTGCATAAGATGGCCAGTGCGGCTCAGCCAAGTTGATATTATTTCAGCTCACAGTACTCACCGTTTTGCTTAGCCTGTGTGGCATTGCCAGCATACAGATGATTTCCAGGGGGCTTTCTGGAGTAGTGAGCATAGCCTTACACTTCCCTCAGATCTCCAGGGAACCAGGGACCCCAGACTGGGGACCGTCCAGAGCTGTGGGCAGAAGAGACTAGCAGGCTGGTTGGGGGCGGGGGGACACTGTGTGTGCTATTTTTAAAGATTTCTAGAAGTCCATTTCACCCATGTATTCTTATCATGCTACGGGAAAGAACCTCTTCTTTATTTACACTTGCACCTCCATGCCTTTCCACTGCCCCCCAACCCAGGCTGCAGCTTTCCCTTCCCTCTGCCTCTCTGCTGGGATCTCCCACTGCGCAATGCCACTCTCCATGGACACCAGCTCGAAGCGGGTCGTTTTGGTACTGACACGAGGGTCAGGCCCCAGCCGCAGGATTCTCAAGCATAGTGGGGGCCAGAAGACACAACATGTAAAAAGTTTAATCACAATACAGTGTAAGATTTGAACAACAGTAAAAAAAAAATTTTTAATTTAAAAAAACAAAAAAAAGATTTGAACAACAGTTCAGAGATGACCTGAGCTAAGGATCAGCAGGACATGATTCATGGCCTGATTAACTGTAGAAATTAAAACTAAATACTGGTTCTGTCTAGATCTTTGAGGTGCACCGTATACTTCTTCACAGGCTTTATTTCACTTGGACCTCATGTCAACCCCACAAGATAGGGAGATAGAGGGCGTTAGTGTCCTGGTTTTACAGATGATGAGGGCAGCATTCTTTCTAAACTACTGATGAGAAAACCAAAAGCCAGAGGATTCTCAGCTGCCCGGCGATAGGGCCGGTGATAAGAAGGGGATGCTCTTGATTCCACTCCGTCACAGCTTTCTGAACTTAGAGGAGAAAGCGAGCCCTTCAGACTGGCACGATCACAAAATCTATCTTAGGGTGGCAGAAGCTAACCCAGGGTCTCGATGAGGTCGGAGCCAGTGGGCTGACGGGCCTGGGCCCCGGGTGGGTGGGACTAGCTGAGAGCAGGAGCTGCTGAGGAAGCAGAGGTCCGCCTCTCCCAGTAACTCGAGCTCCTTGTGTGTCCACAGGCATTGGCAGTGGCGGGCCTGAGCCCCCTCCTGCAGAGAAGCCATTCCCCCAGCACGTTCCCCAGGCCGTGCGCCACCCCCCCAGCCACACCGGGCAGCCGAGGCTGGCCCCCACAGCCGATCCCCACCCTGCGGCTGGAGAGGGCCGAGTCCAGCGAGAAACTCAACAGCAGCTTCCCATCCATCCACTGCAGCTCCTGGTCCGGGGAGCCCACGCCCTGCGCTGGGGGCAGCAGCGCCATCCGGAGAGCCCGGCCGGTGTCCCTCACTGTGCCCAGCCAGGCTGGGGCCCGGGGCAGGCAGTTCCACGGCAGTGCCAGCAGCCTGGTGGAAGCGGTAAAGTGACCCTGGGCCGCACGGCACGCTGGGGAGGGAAAGGCCGAGGGCAGCCCAGGGACTTCGCATGAGGAACTGAGACGGGAGTCCCTGGTCCTTTCCCAAGTAGAGTGGATGTCAAGTCTCTTGGCCAGAAAGACCTGCACTCCCAGGGAGGAGGGCATGGTGTGCAGAGAACTGTGATAACACAAGACACTTGGGCAGGGCCTGCCGCAGAGGGAGAAAGGACTGAGTAGCATATCCCTGCCACAGGCCAGAGAACGCCCCCCAGGGCCCGGGGCTCCGCAGTACAGCCAGAGGGGAGCTCTGACTGCTCTAGATGTAGGGGTGAGCCTGGGCTGCGTTTGCACACATAGAAAGTCAGGATCTGTGGGACTCGAGCCTGGGGCGCATTAGAATAACCTGGGGAGCTTTGGAAACCTAGGACACAGTAAATGGGTATTTTTTAAAGCCCTGCGATGATCCTAATGCACAGCCAGGGTTGAGAATCACTATTCTAGAACAAGAGTGCTTCCAGGTCCTCTATCTTCTGCCCTGGCCAGAGCATCTAGTGCGATCCTGGCACCACATTTTAGGGGACTTTGACAAACTGGAACAAGCCCAAAGGGACATGGCAAGGGATTGGCGAGGTCCCTAGAAGCGATCTCATATGAGCACTGGTCAAGGGAGTTAGGGAAGCAAACCAAGAAAGGGGGTGGCTTAGGAGGCCACAATGGGCATCTCCAACTCATGTCCTGGGCAGGAGGTCTCGAGTGCAGGACTGGAGCGACAGATCAAACTGACAGGCAGGCAGATTTCAGGTTACATGGGGAAGACCTTTCCAACAGAGCTTTCCCAAAATGAGGAGGGCTTTCCTATAAAGGAGTGAGCCCGCCATCGCTGGAGCTCTGAAGAAAATTTAAGCAGGACAGGAAATAGAGTGATGGGAGCAGGGCAAACAGACCTGGGAGAAAGGCATTCAGGCTTCACTATTAATCCCCTGTCCTTGGCTCAGCAGCTGGTTTCCCCAAAGCCAGTCACTAAAGCAGCCGCTAGGAAGGAGGGAGCAGCCCTGGGACCGCCTTCTGGCCCTTTGGAGCTGGAGCAGAGGCAGGTGCAGACCTGGCGTTTTGCACACATCCTACGCCAGGATCCTCACCCCCACAAAGGCAGCCAGCCGGCAGTGGGCAAGGGGCACAAGTTTAACAGTTTCCCCAAAGGAGAGTGAAGGTTTCTGGGCAAGAATAACAGGGGGGCACCTACGGGTGCCAGGGAGGAGAAAAGACAGGGCAGGCCAGGTTCTGCCTGGGCCGCAGTACAGCAGCACCCCGCGGCCCCTCTGCAAGCCAAGTTTTCAGGTGTTCGACAACAGTTTTTGAGTATCCCAGCCAAAACAGCTCTCCTCCAGCCTACACATCCCTGATGCCTTTGGGCAATGCTCCGGGTCAGCTCCTTTCCTGGGAGCACCCCTCCCAGCATGCCCGCGCGCGCACGCGCGCACACACACACACACACACACACACACACACACACTCCCCGAAGTTACCAGGCCCAGGCCCCTTGCTCCAGCCCTAAAGGGAAGAGTTGACCTCCAGGAATAATGTTCCTCTTTGGTTCTTCTTTATGGCCCTCCCTCCCCAATTCAGGTCTTGATTTCAGAAGGACTGGGGCAGTTTGCTCAAGATCCCAAGTTTATCGAGGTCACAACCCAGGAGCTGGCTGATGCCTGTGACATGACCATAGAGGAGATGGAGAACGCCGCCGACAACATCCTCAGTGGGGGCGCCCAGCAGAGCCCCAACGGCACCCTACTACCTTTTGTTAACTGCAGGGACCCGGGGCAGGACAGAGTGGGGGGCCAAGAGGGCGAGAGCTGCGCCGCGGCTCGGGCGTGTCGGAGGAGCGAGGAGGAGCACCAGGACAGCAGAGCCCACGCCGGCAGCCTGTAGGCGCTAGGGCTGGGGAGACGCTGGGTTTTTTATTTGTTTCAATGTTCCTAATGGGTTCGTTTCAGAAGTGCCTCACTGTTCTCGTGACCTGGAGTTAACCGGAACAGCGTCTTCATTCATTTCGTTGGGACAAGACGCAGAGTTGGGTGGTGTGCAGAGTCCGTTTTCCGGGGGGAAGGAAGGCAGCAACCCCAGTTTGTGTTGTGTCCACAGAAGTAGAGTGGTGAGGAGGAGTGGAAGAATCAGCGAGGGAGAGCAAGAGAAGAGACGCCTGCCCTCACCTCCGGGCATGAAAGAGAACCTCAGCTTCCTGCGGTAGCCCTCACCAAAAGGACCCCATGTCAAACGGGTGTCTTTCAACTTTGCTTGTAAAAAAAAAAAAAAAAAAATCATTTTGCACATATTCTGTATGAGCCTCACTGTCTCCATAGAGCCGGGGCCCTGTGGATTTGCAGAAGGAAGCAGGGGTGTGACTGCAGCGAGGACACAGCCCCGTCCCCCAGAGGGACGAGGTGCAGCCCGAGGCAGAGGAGCTCGGGAGCGGAAGGGAGCAGAGGGCGAGGGCTGCATTCGGCCTCCAAGGCCCAGGCTCCCCGCCGCGCCCCGCCCGTCTGCATCAGGACCAGCGTCCCTGCACAGGCCCACCGAGCTCCGGCCCAGTGGCTGGGCCTGCATCGGGGCGAGGGGGCACTGGCACCGCCTGCCAGGGAAGGGGCAGCCGGCCCTTGACAAGACGAGGTGGTGCTGAGCTTCTTGTTGAGCGCTCTTTTGTTTTAGGGTTTAACATTTTTCTTGATAGCATGTTGCAGTTTTCGGGGGTTTTTTTGGTTTTTTGTTTTATTTTAATTTTGTTTTCCCAGGGGGAGGGGAGGAAGAAGTGTTTACAAAGCTTTGTACACCCACCTTACTGTTTTCACTTTTGCAAATGTAAATCGGGTTTGGTTTTACTGTATTATTTAAACGGTTGTGGTTTTCTTTTTCTACGGTAGGTTCAATAGAGCCGCCGTAGGCAAGTTTTACCAGCCATTGTGTATGCGCAATAATTTGTTATAATTTCCGTAGGTAGTAACAAAAATTTTTTTGGTTTGGTTTTATAATTTAAAGGTAATGCACTTGATACGGTCTTGCACATATGGGTGATTGAGTTGGGTTCTTTTTAATGCGAGGTGTATTTGTGGGTGCCAGAGAGAGGAAGATTGGATGAGTGAGTCTCTGCGAGTGTGTGTGTGTTCTGTGTGTGTGTGTGTGTGTGTGTGTGTGTGGTGGGCTGTCTGGGCACCTGTCGTCCGTGTGTATGTACACCCACACAGTGCGCCCATGCGTGAATGAGTGTGTAGCTCCCCCTTTCTGGTCTAACTGTGGGGAGATCTGAATCTGGGGCCATTTGAAAGCAAAAACAAACCACTGTCTCTGCTTCTGAAATGGGAATCAGTAACTCTTTGCATTTTCTGTCCCACAAGATATGCAAAAACAATGCAATAATATTCATTTTAAAAATATAATTGTGAGTTGTGTTGGCATTAAAACTGTATTAAAAAAAACAGAAATTTAAGGGAAAAACTAAAGAAGGCGTTTTGCTTCGATATATTCCGTGTAATGTTTTATTGCATTGATAATGTTTCTGTTGAAGAAACTGTTATACTTGAATTCAGGTCAGTTTCAGTATTTTACAAATATTTTTTTAAAACTGAATTGCAATTGTGCCAAGCGAATATAATGAATTGAATTAAGTTTGTTTTTGAATTCCCTTCTTGTATATTTTGCTGCATGTAAGTAAATCATTTTGTATTTGGAGTGTGACAAGCTTTACCCTTGAACTCTGAAGTGCTTTTCTATATGTGGTTGGGGGAAAGGGAACGAATATTCTTTTAATTTGTACACTGAGCAAAGGTATCACCAGTGTAAATCATTGTTCTGCGATCCACTAACAGGTTTGGACTTTACTGTTTTGCATATCTTGTGCTCGCTTCCATTTCCCTCCATTTTTCCAAAACTATATGATAAGTATATTTGTACTACATCTTGCTTTGAGAGACCAGGACATGTCTTAGTCCTGTCTTCACTCTATCCATTCTGCTCCAGTTCTCTGATTTGGACTTTGTCTAAGGGCAGTCCTGCGCCATAAGCATCAGCATCCCCCATGGGAGAGGTGGCTGGCTTTTCTGTTCACTTCCACAAACTTTCCTCAGTGGTTTCCTCAGGAAAGCATGCGCTGACTGAGAGGCCGGGGAGCTAGAGTCGGGCTGCCTGGAGGGCAGAGAATCCTCCCTCCGGCAACTGCTCTACCCAAACTCAGACAGCAGGGGCCAGAGAACAGCAACCAGGTAAAATCTTTGTCCATCCAAAAGTCAGCTCTTACTTCTTTTCCTCACTCGAGAGCAGGATTTCCTCCAGACCTACCCTAGTGTGTGTGGCAGCCGTGGAGGGGACCAGGACCAGGCAGGACGCGTCAGGAGGTCACAGTGATAGTGGAACCAGAGGCTCTGTGCGAGCGTCTCTTATGCCCAGTTGCGTCTGCCTAGAGCATCATCCTATCGGTGCTGTTTCCTCCAAATAGATTTCAACAATGATGGTTGAAAAGGAGGTGATTTGGGGAAAACAGGACCCAAACATCCAGGATTTACCCAGTGAATGTCTTCCAGGCCCAGTGCGCTCTCAGCCCTTATGTGAGCAACCTAGAAATTAAAGTCAGGGAAAGTCAATTCCCCAGCGAAGACGAGTCTCACTTTCAAGGACTGATCCATGAAAAAGTGGAGAAACGTGCCGAATACTCCCAGGTTAACTTACAGTCTAGAAGCAGAAGGGTTTCTTCCTGTTTCTCCAAGCCCAACCCATCCAGATTTTTTTGGCTCCTTTTCAGTGCCATGAAGGCCTTCTAGAAATTAGTTAGGTGTCATCCTCTGTCTGGTTTCCCAAGATATCTACCATTGTGCTGCTAAGATATTAGTTATGGTGGAGAGGGGAGCCCTTTTGGATTGATATCTGGTTTTTGCTGTACATTTGGTCCCTGGATAGAAATTTAGAATCTTAATTGACCACACACACATACACAAACACACACCCACACACACGCACGCACTCAACCTTCATGCTGCTTTCTTTTTTCCTTTTGGACTTGTCTTCTGCATCACCAAATCTCGTTGGCCAGTGGCATGGGCTACAGGCTGGGCTCATGCCAACTACCCCTAGAGCCCTGCCTAAGTGTGGCCCCTGGTCCTTCACCACTCACACCTACAGGGTCCCTTCTTCTTTCTAGTCAGCTCTGTCAGAAGACCGGCTAGCCTTGCACCCTGCAAGAACAATGGCAGCAGTGCCAAGGGCACCTGGCACTGTGCTGCTGGGAAGGAAAGGAGTTTCAGATGGGAGTTCCCTGTGTAGGGCAATGGGTCTTTCTGGCCTGACCTCATGATCGACTGGTATAGGATACCTGTCATCATGCAGACTGGTAAAATCAATCATGACATCATGAACCTCCCCCGCAGCGAATTAAGTGATGTCTACCTGCCACCTAGAGCAGAACTTTGCCCATGACCATTACATCTTCTGAGAACCCTTGAGTGGCAGCAGAAAGCAGTCAATGGCTGAGGACCAACGGGACTTGAAGAAGTGCCGTGTAAGTTCTGGGGGTTGGTAAACGATATTTATTTTTCCTCTGAATGGCCCAGACTCTTGTATTTCCACACTTTAGCTTTTTAATAATTAGGCATGTGCATGGCTATATTAGGCAGAGAGATTTTCAGTTGTCTCCTTTCTGCCTGTTTCTAGAAGTTTCTTTTTGGTCTTGAGGCAAAAAGAGGAGGATGTTTTCCTAGATTTTGGCTTGTTCCATTAATTTTTCTCTGTTCTGCTTCAGAGGCTATTATAGTCCCCCACCACCACCACCCTCTAACTTTGACTGGGAGGTCCAAGGACAAAGGAACAGGCTTCCTTACTCTGTCTTGATCCTGTGACGCTGCTTCCAAACCTCAGGGGCTTGTCTGGACTGAAGCTATCAGTTTCTCACAGCCATTTTCCTTCCAGAACATCTCCTGATCATTCAGCTCTAGATAATAAGGCAACCTAGGAGAAGGATACCTTTCAATGCCTGAGAAATAAGAACACCCTGAAAATGAGGAGTTTGGAAGTCATCAAAAGGGTTTCATCATTCTTAAAGGTCAAGACATGTAACAAGAAGCTAGTTTAGGCATACAAAATAACCCTGGTAGTCATGTTTTTAGCCTCATCAACCATAATTATAGATGTTGCTAAGGAAGATGATGGCATCTCCATCCTGAGGGACCTAGAAAAGATGAAATATCATTGTCTAAGAGTTAGAAACTGTTTAGCAAAGAGGCCAGAAAAGGGCAATCTGGTTTCAAGAGGACCCACTTAAGACCCAATTTAGTAAAACACTTGCTGATAAGAGGGCAGGCCAGTTCCATTTTTTTTTAAAAACATGGCTCTGGTCGGGGGAAAGTGTTGGCACAGAGAGAACTGGAGGGAAAATGCAGGCAAAGCAGAGGGCATGTCTTGACTCTTTATGCTCTGTTCCTATTTTCTGGAAAGAAGTGTCCAGTTAATCCACGCAATGGCCAGTATGGGGGAGAGGATAATGCCTCAAGGATCAACTTTGGAAAAAAGAGAATAAAATTGCAATCATTGTTTTACCAGACAAATCAACCTATCTGGCTAGATGTGGGGTATCTGCCACCCTTTCCTCTTTGCTGGTGTCCCTCCCCTCATACCAGCTGGCATGCCACCTAAAACTGGCTCCTGTTGGTCAGAAGGCATGAAGGCCTAATGGCCTAATGTCACTCACGGTGAAGCTCTTAGTCACCACATCCAGATTCCCCATCAGCTCCCTCTGAGAAGACACAAGGAAAATAGACAAGGGACCGAACTGTCCTACAGCAGTCAGGGATGGGGTTTTCTCCCCTTCCCCAAGCCTTTCTCTCTATTCCAGCCTCCTGCCCGGCCCCCACTTTTCCTTCCTCCCCCCAGTCTAGTCAGAAGAACAGAGAGTTGAAAGGAGGCCAATGTGCAGATTCTTAAACAGTTTCTTCGTGAAGCTAGTTCTGGTTTTAACTTTTTTTTTTTTTTAATTTCAAAACAATGAAACCTTGCTTTGTGAAGCCAGATACCGATGTAACAGGCGGTTTCTGCCAGACTCCCACATGGTTGGGAGACACTTGAACACCACACATACACATACACACTTTCATCCTCATGCACACACGCATGCACACACGGGCATGCACACATACACGCACACAAACACACTTCCTTAAGGGACAGGGGCTGGTGCTGGGGTTGAACTCTGCACAAATGATACTGTCCTCCCAGAGGGCTGAGCACTATATAGAGAGACGTGGAGAGTGAAGCAGAGTAACTTCCTTAGTAGAAAA